TAGGGATGTCATTCCCTAGTCTCCGTTAGTTCATGTCCCTATCCTTATTCTTTCTGGGATAGGAAATCATTCCTCATCCTCGTCACCGCAAGAAATTTTCGGGGACAGGGAATCTTAGTCTCCAATCAAATTTTAATCAAATTAATATTTTTTTAAAATAATAGTCAAACTAATATAATTCACAATATTTAAATAAAAAATTAAAGGGAGAAGTGTCAAATAGACCCATATACTATTGTCAAGTGCTCAATTCTCACCCTGAACTAAATTAAAGGCTAATTAACCACACTTACCTACTAAATTTGTTCAATTAACTTTTTTTTGCAGGTTACCAATTCAATTATTAAAAAAATAATTTCAAAATAATTTAAAAATTATTAAAAAAAAAAAAAGAATACAGCCACCGGTTGTCATCGCCAGACAGCCGGTGGCTGTATTCTTTTTTATTTTATTTTATTTTATTTTATTTATTTATTTTAATAATTAAATAGGTAACATGTTATTAACCTGTAAAAAAAGTCAATTGAAAAAATTTAACTCGTAGATGGTCCTATTTGACACTTAATTTAGTTCGTGGTGGAAATTGAGCACTTCGCAGTAGTAAATGGACCCATTTGACACTTCGGCCAAAATTAAATAAAAACTTTTACTCCTAGAATTGTTAAATCTTCATCAATTCTCAAAAACTATCAAAATCCAAATGTTAAATATAATAATCAAATAATTTTCATACAAATAATAAAAACATAAATACACAATTATAGAGTACAACACATTCAATACAACATATCTACAATATTATATATTATTATTATTATTATTATTATTATTATTATTATTATTATTATTATTATTATTATTATTATTATTAAAGCAGGGATGACGTGTGTGGGATGGGGAAGGGTATCCCAATCTTCGACGGAGAATTGAAAACATTTCTTGTCCTATTCTTTGAAAGTTTTTCTCCTTTCTTAATCCCCGTTTAAGGTAGAGATGAGTATGGAAGAAATTGTCATCCCAAAACATACCATGTAAAATGTTTTTCAACTCCAACATGTGTCAGTGGCATTATACACAGCGACCTTGACTTGAAGGACGTCCGCTTATCTTCAATTCCAGTATAACATGCCGGGCATACTTAATGACTTGATAAATACAACTTTCTATTATTTTATGCGTCTTTAATGAGTTTTGACTAAATTATTTATAATATAATTTTTCATAGTATTAAGTTTAGTATTATAATATAAAATTTATATATTACAAAATTACTTTAAAAATACTATTAAACACAAATAAAAAAATTCAAATTTAATATAATAAAATATATTAAAGAAATTAAATAAACGAGAAAGAATTTATTTGACCAAAAAAATAATAAACCACACAATTAAAATGACATAAAAGGAAGAAATTACCAATAAAATTATGAATAACGTACATTAATTGAGATTTTTGTGTAGAAAAAAAAAAGCATTACTTAAAATGGAATTTTCCCTTTCATAAATGCATGTATCTATGACGGCAAATTATTGTGTAGACTATGCTCCAAAACGACATCATTTTAATGTTTAAAAAAATTTATTCATCCAAGCGCATGTTAGAATAATGAATATTTTAGAGTAAGATAATATATTTTATGAGTTAGAATAATGTACTTTATATGCATGTGTTAGAATAATAAAATTTCTGGGGTAAGATAATTTATTTTATGAGTTAGAATAATGTACTTTATGTGTTAGAATTATGTATTTTATGAGTTAGAATAATGCCTAATGTACTTTATGTGTTAGAATAATGAAATTTCTGGGGTAAGATAATGTATTTTATGAGTTAAATAATGTACTTTATGTATAAGAATAATGTATTTTATGAGTTAGAATAATGTAATTTGTGTTTTTGGACCGTGGTCCACGCAATAATGATTAGCTAATTAATAATTTCAATACAAACATTGAATATACTTAATGTAGTAAGTAATTTGTGACATTTAAATATAATGGTTTGATGGGTGATGTTCATATGAGAACTAACTTCCCCATGAGTCTGTATGAAACAATCTGGAACATCATGTGTTTAGATAATGTACATTATGCTTTAGAATAATGTATTTTACGATTTTCAATAATATACTTTTTGAGCAAATTATTGTGGACCAGCTGTGTAGACCATGATCCAAAACGACGTCGTTTTGATGTTTAAAAAATCTTGCTCCGTGCTCATGTTAGAATAATGAACATTCAAGGGTAAGATAGTGTATTTTATGAGATAGAATAATGTACTTTATGTGTTAGAATAATTGACTTTATGTGTTAGAATAATGAAATTTATGGGGTAAGAATGTAAGATAATGTATTTTATAAGTTAGAGTAATGTACTTTGTGTTTGAATGATGTATTTTATGAGTTAGAATAATGTATAATTTACTTTATGTGGTAGAATAATGAATTCTGGGGTAAAATAATGTATTTTATGATTTAGAATAATGTATTTTATGTGTTAGAATAATGTATTTTATGAGTTAGAATAATATACTTTGTGTTTTTTGACAGTGGTTCACACTGCTGTGTGGACCACGGTCCATGCAATAATGATAGTCTGACAAGATGCTGAAGTGGTAAATTAACGACTTCTTAGGTAAGAGGATCAGTGCATCTTGCCTCAATTCTTATATGGTGGATTATGGCCCACATAGCGTTGTATGGACCATGGCCTAACACGGTGTCATTTTTTTTTTCTTTTCTTGTTACAGTAAGCCAATAGCGTATCACGTTATAAATATGTATATTGTCAAATGTAATTGTAGTAGAATTAAAATGATACTTTAAAGTGTTACACTATAATGAAACTAGTGTGTATATAAAATAAAACTAAAAAACAGAGCTCATGTAATAACGTATATTGTCAAATGAAATTTAACTGTAATTAAAATGATATTTCAGTGTTACTATAATGAAACTAGCGCAGGTAGAAATAGAAACTAAGGAGCATAGCCAATACATTAATTAACATATATTGTCAAATGAACCTGACGTGTAATTAAAATGATACTTCAGCATTACTATAATGAAACTAGTGTGTGTGTGGAAAATGGAACTAATAAACAGAGCTCATGCAATAACGTATATTGTCCAATGAGCCTGAAGTATAATGAAAATAATACTTCAGCATTACTATAATGAAACTATGCGTGTGGAAAATGAAACTAAAAAACATAGCCCATACAATAACATATATTGTCAAATGAATATGAATTGTTAAAATGATACTTCTGCATTACCGTAGTGAAACGTGTGTGTGTGAAAAATGAAACTAAAAAATAGAGCTCATGCAATAACGTATATTGTCAAATTAAGATAAAATGCAATTAAAATGATACTTCGTTGTTACTATATGAAACTGGTGCGTGTGAAAAACGAAACTAAAAATACAGAGTTCATACAATAACGTATATTGTCAAATGAAACTGAAGCGTAATGAAAATGATACGACGTCATTTTAGTTCATGATTCACACTGCTACATGGATCATGGACGACAGTAAAATTTTCCCTATTGTCCACAATGAGTCAACCACATTGGATGTAACTCTCCACACTACGACTATAATGTCTTCATCCTTGGTTTTTTCATATACCTAAGTAGTGATAAGTGTATATTTGTGCTATTTTGTTATGCATAGGTGCCAACGCCACTCTCATGGACATCGGTCTATCACCTAGTCCCTAGTCCCATTCTCATAGCAACTAAGCTATGTGAGACATTTAAGCAAACACTTTGTGTTCTCATTTCATTCCAACTCCTCTTTTTCACAGGTGAGATAGAAATGTGAGATGTAAGGCAATGGTGATGCCCTATTCTCATAGGAGGAATACCTAATTCATCCACCTCTCGCAAAGTTGGGCCCTAACTAGACAAGAGTCTATACAATTCATCAATCTCACAGTCAAATTCATTATCAAGGCATTACAGAATGTAATTTTGCAATTCAATTCTCATAGGCATCTATATACAAGGGAATTTAATCCAAATCCCTAGAGATGTTTAGCTACTCATAATGGAAATTTAAATCAAAGATTCAGTTGAAGTAATGGACATTGAAATCAAGATCACAAAGAAAATAAAATGCAAATATTGAAAGAGAACAACTTAGCTTGTTGATTGAAATTGAAAGAACAAATATGAAATTTGATGTTGAATTGCAATTACAAAGTGAAATCTTTCTCTAGATCTTCCAAAATGTTGATGGATTACAATGTAGAAGTGTTTGGGAGAGTTTCTATGGAGAAAAACCTAGAGAGAGAAACTGAAAAATGAAATAACCGCCCCAAGCTATTTATACTAGCTAATTAAGAATACACATAATTGTATACATGAATGTACATAATGTTATACTAGAATACACATAATTGTATACATGAATGTACATAATTATATAACAAAATACACATACTCTTTTTTTAAAAGATAATACACATAATCTAACACAATACATAATAAACATAAACATTTAACATAATACACATCAACTCTTAACATAATACACAAAAATTTCCTGATTCGGATGTACATAATTGTATAAAAAAATGTACATAATTGTATAAAAAATGTACATAATAAAAAATATACATAATTGTATAAACAAATATAAATAGTCATGTAAACTTCCTACCGCGCCTCCCAAAACAACGTCTTTTTGGGAGGCGCGGGGCGCACAGTGCACTGTGCGCCGTGGTGCAAGGTATAACGATTGATTTCTGGATCCACCATTTTTCTGGATTCGCACCTGGGTGGGGCATATAATCTTTGATTTCATATGTAGTCCTTTAATTTCATTGTGTAATGTGTATGCAATTAATGACATAGCTTGAAGAAAAGTCAAGAACGTGAAAAACATATGGGTAGACGACATAACCTGAAGAAAAGTCAAGAAAACACACGGAGGTATAATACTATCTTAGAATAGAATTAAAAGATTCCATCAGAGCAAACCAAATTACGAAGAAACAAACAGAGCTAATATTCTCAATGGGAAGTAATCTTCTTTTGTTCATTGCTTTAATGCCTTTAGTTTCAATTCAGAAGATTTCTTCTGCACGGGATGCCATTAACTCCACTGATTTCCTTAGAGACGGTGACACCATTGTTTCTTCAGGTGGAGTCTTCGAGATGGGATTTTTTAGCCCAAACAATTCATTGAATCGATACGTTGGCATATGGTACAAGCAATTGCCTATTCGAACCGTAGTATGGGTTGCCAATAGAGATGCTCCCATCACCAATAAATATTCAGTGGTCTTGCAGATGTTCAATCCAGGCGGGCTAGCTCTTGTTGGTGGTAACAATTCCATATTTTGGCATACTAACACTTCCAATTTCGTCCAAAATCCAGTTGCCAGATTATTAGATTCTGGGAATCTAGTGATTACTGATGCAAATGATAGTAATCCAGAGAATTTTCTGTGGCAAAGTTTTCATCATCCTACAGATACTCTTTTGCCAGGCATGATGTTTGGAAAGAATTTCCTTACTGGTATTGAGATTATTCTATCATCATGGAAGACAGAAAACAATCCAGGCTCGGGGGAATATAAACTTCTGGTTGAACCTACAGGATATCCACAAGTGCTCATAAAACGAGGCCGGGAGGAAGTGTTTCGGTCAGGACCATGGAATGGTCTGGAATGGAACGGCTCACCAGGCATGGAGAAGTTGGAAGATATGGCCGAAATGGGTGCAATTGCTAATGCAACTGCCTTTTATGCATACTATAAGGTTTTTAAAACCTCAAAGTTGATAAGGTTAATAATATCAACCTCTGGGAATATACAATTCTATTTATGGGCAGATGGTTCACAGGAATGGAAAATTGTGTTTACTGCACCAACAGACACTTGTGACAGATATGGATATTGTGGAGCTTATAGTATCTGTTACTATGATTACTACCCTGCTTGTGGATGTTTGGACAAATTTTTGCCTAAAAATCCAGTAGAATCCAAGTCTGAATATTTAGGAGCAGGATGCGTTCGGAGGACACGCTTGAATTGTCAAAATGCATCCTCTGATGGATTCATTAAATATAGTGGTGTCAAGTTGCCAGATACAAAGTTTTCCTGGTTCAACAGCAGTATGAGCCTTCAAGAATGTGAGCAAGTTTGCTTGAAGAATTGCAACTGTACAGCTTATTCAAATATGAATATAAGCAATGGAGAAAATAATGGGTGTTTGCTTTGGTTCGGTGATTTGATTGACCTTAGACTGATACCTGAGAAAGAGCAAGATCTTTTCATCAGGATGGCTTCTTCTGATTTAGGTATGTAACAATTTATATTAGAGTTAATGTCATATGTGGTCTTTTGAGTATAGTAATTTTGTCACGTTTAGTTCTAAACTTTCAAAGTGACCACTCGTGGTCTATCGACTTTCAAATTGTTACTATCTGTGGTCCAAGTTAACCACCCATGGTCCTTCAACTTCCAAAATTTAACTAGCGGCGATCCTCCTGGAAGGACGCGTGTGGTTAACTTGTACCACGGATGGAAACAATTTGAAAGTCGAAGGATCAGGTGGTCAATTTGAAGGCAAATTATGCTGTGAGCACGTGCCCACCATGCACATGGTGCGTACGAATCTATATCCATAATTTTTGTACTGTAGATCCATAATTTCTATACTGTAGATCCATAATTTCTAGAATCTCGGTGAGCTAAAATTTATACTTTAGATTCCAATTGTTGAACCATGTTTTCACAAATCAGTGCAATATAGAAATTATGGATCTACTCTATAGAAGTTATGGATCTACTGTATTTAAATTATGGATCCTACGGTTTTAGAAATTATGAATCTAAAGTATAAATTTTAGCTCACCGAGAGTCTAGAAATTATGAATCTACAGTATAGAAATTATGGATATAGATTCGTGCGCATCATGCAAGGTAGGCACGTGCTCACAGCATAACGATTACAATTTAAAAACTTAGGATTAAACGTGACAAAATCACTATACTCATGACCCCAGATGGTATTAACTCATTTATATTATAATTAAAATTTTACAACAGATCGATTAATATGCAAATAAGTCTACAAAGTAGTAGCTAAAGTCCATTGTCTCCTCTTTTTTTCTTTTTCTTTTTTTTTTTGGTCTTTTTTTGGTAGATTATACTTCAAGCTCAAAGAGCAAGAAATTTAAGAAACTAAAAGTGACTTCATCATTGTTGATTGTACTGCTGGCTTTGAGCTTGACTATGATTATGATACTCTATAAACGGAAAGGGAAGGTGATGGAACCAATTCAACCAGAGTTGTTATTGGTAGAGGATCAGACACTATTTGAAGCATCTACAATTATAAGAGCTACGGATAATTTTTCACTAAGGAACAAGATTGGAGAGGGAGGATATGGACCTGTGTACAAGGTAATCGTGTCGTCTAAAAACATATCATATCATGCATGACAGAGTAAGTGTCTGAGATTTAAGGTTTTATAGATATGAGAAAGAAAGTTTTTTTAGGATTCTGTATTTTATCAGCTTTAGCATTCCTATTTCATCTCTTAATATTATTGTAACTCCACTCTTACGAGTCCTGCTCTAGTTAGGACTATATCTTAAATCTCTATAAATACATCCCTTCATATACTTTGCAAACACGATTGATCAATAATAAAAGTCTCTCTAGAAATTCTTGTTCTCATATGGTATCAGTAAACCAAAACGATCTATGGCTCTGACTCACCTCTAGCCCCAATAAATACTCTACAGGCAGCCCATCACTATATCTCCCTCAAACTTACCTCCTCCAATTATTTACAATGGAAAACTCAGCTTGTTCCCTTTCTCCACGGTCAAAATCTCAGTGGATATGTTGATAGAACGTTCCCGTGCCCGGATTCCTTTGCTCAGGATCTGGATGGGTGTTCCGTTGTAGCCAATCCTACGGCAAAAAATTGCGTCTATCGGCATTCCTCTATTTTATCCATGCTCATCTTATCTTTGTTCGATGAAGTTATGTACGTTACTGTGGGATATGCCACATCTCTGGCCCTATGGCAAGCTATTTAACCTATTGTTTGGGTCCTCCTCACGGGCACACACTCTGAGTCTCCTTAGTCAGCTGCAATCTCAGCGCCAAGGGGATTCCACTACAAGTGAATCTCTCTTAGCAAAGCCATGGTTTTAATTGGACTACTTGCAGAAGCCGATAGACCAATAGGTTTCGATGACTAGAATCTGTACATGTTTAAAGGCCTTTGCCCTGAGTACCGTGCAATGTTCTCTTTATTGACCTCAAAATAACCAGTGACGATTGATCAACTGAATGACTATCTCACCGCCCATCAATTCATCTACATTGAAACATTACTCTGTTAGCTTCCCCATAGACACCTGTAACTCTTATTGCTCAACATGGACCACATGTCACCTCACAACTGAAGTAACCTGCCTAGAGACCCCGTGGTCGTAGTCGTGGACATAGAAGAGGCCGAGGGTGCGGTCGTGGCCATATCTATCCCTCGAAGTGCCAAATTTACAACAATTTTAGCCATACTACATTACAGTGCTATAGGAGGTATTCGGGGGCAACCAGTTCTCAAGTACACATCACTTATTCCAACGATCTAGCTATCGCACCATTCTCTAAAAACTGGTTCCCAAACACTGGTGCCACCCATCATGCTACTTTGGATCCCTCATCGCTGCAATGATTAAAAGAATACGTAGAGAATGACACTCTTCTAGTTGGCAATGGAAAAGTTTTGAATATTTCTAGTATTGGGCATACTTATATATAATCTCCTTCGCGTGTCCTACAATTACAAAATGTGTTACATGTCCCTACCCTAATAAACTCTCTCCTATCTGTCAAACACTTCACCACTGATAATAATGTCTTCTTTGAGTTTCATCCCTCCATTTTTGTTGTAAAATATCACAACACCAACCAAATTCTCTTTAAGGGAGAAAGCTCAAGAGGGTTATTACAAAATTATAATACAAAATCCAAATGCATTCATTATATTCAAAGCACCTTTTAGAAGTTTGGCACAACTTCGTTGGTCACCCTCACTCAAAGAGTCTTATAAAATATACTATGCCACTATCCAGTATCAAAGTCCTTAAATAATATTCATTCTCTTTATACTTCCTATCAACTAGGAAAATCATCACGATTTCCACTAGAAAGGGTCAATAAGTCTAGTTCTGTTGTATTAGATTTGGTTTACACAAACATTTGGGGGCCATCTCTAGTTCTATCTAATAAGGATCATCGTTATTTTGCCATTTCCGTTGATGATTACTCTTGGTATACCTAGTTCTTTCCCATGAAACTAAAGACAAATATCTATACAATTTTCAATAGGTTTCAAGCACTGGCTGAGCGAACTTTCTTTTGTAAAATTAAAATAGTTCAATTTGATATAGGGGGATAATGCAAAAAATTAGACAAGTTCTTTGTCATCCTAGGGATAAATCATTGTCAATCATGTGCTTACACATGAACAAAATGGCTGTGTAGAAAGCCATCATAGACCCATTGTCGAAACTGGTCTCACTTTGCTTGCCCAAGCCTCTGTTCCTCCAAGGTATTAGACCTATGCCTATGAAATTGCAATTTTTCTTATTAATCGTATGCTCTCTGCCGCCCAAAACAATATGAACCCATATGCCCTCGTCATTAAAGAAAATCTCGACTATTCCTTTCTTCTTATCTTTAGTTGCCTGTGTTTTCCTTATCTTCGTCCCTACAACAAACACAAAATATAGTTTCAATATGCTCCACCTATCTTTCTTCGTTACCTAGAGTCGTTCCGAGGATATCGTTGTTGAATCTCAATACTGGAAAGATTTTTATCCTATATCATGTCCGATTTAATGAGAATGTTCTCCCTTTTAATTTATAGCAAATACTTCTCCACATGTTCATGTTCGTGCTCGAAATGCATTACCATGGGTTGTTGTTTGCGCCTCGAGCTGACTACATTGCCTGCAACAAAACATGACCATGTCGCACCCTGGACACGACCGTGTCGATGCCACCCAAACCCCTCGGTGGAATTCACACCTGAGTATCCTCTAGTTGTTCCTTCTAAACCCCCACGGTGCTAACCACCAGCTCTGACTCAGTGAACACATCCTATGGTAGTTCACCACATCACTCATGGCTTAATAGGTAACAAAGCTTTGATTGCATGTGTAGAAGATTTCGAGCCCAGAAGCTACTCTCAATCCATGAAGAGCTTTGAATGGTGAATAGCGGTGGACCAAGAGTCCAATGCCCATTAACTCCTTTTAAAAAAATTCCTTTTCTGTAATTTAGACAAACTACATTCACCTAGGTCACCCAAACGTAAATGCCACAACCTAGTAGTATCATCACTAGACTCAAGAGAATGTGTTACACCTACAACAGTATTGCCTAACAACCTACAAATTTTCCCCATGATTTACTTCGCTTTCAACTCATTTAAAGCACCTTTACTGATTTTAATAGTTTCCCTATCACTTTCAGACGTATGAATAAAACCATTAACATGCAAACCGCCAAGAGAAATCAAGTTCTTAGTTAACCCTGGTATATGTCTAACATCATGCAAAGTTCAAATAATACCATCATGCATCTGGATGTTAACATCACCAATACATACAATTAATGACATCTATCATCACCCAAAAAAATAGAATGGAAAGTACTTGACCTATAGGTTGTGAACCACTCCTTGTTAGACATAATATGATAGGAGCATCCCTACTCTAGGATCCAAGCATCTGATAACTGAATCGATGAAACTGCTAGGACATCACCTTCACTATTATCTGAATCTTCATCATGTACCACATTCACAGCCTCTTGTTACTTCTTTAACTTTGGAAAGTCTCTTTTCATGTGCCCAAACTCCTTACACTTGTAGCACTAGATTTTCTTGATATTTCTAGACTTAGACCTAGAGTCTCTCTTTCCAGAATTATCCTTCACTAGCTTACTTCCACGATCTTGACACCCTAAGTATACAAAATATCACCAACAAAGCCTTCCCATGCATTCTACCTGCGCTGATTATGAGCCAGTAGGGCTGCAAAGATCTCATTGAATTTAATCGCGACTTGCCCTTATGTAAGACTAGTCACTAGATGTTCAAAAGAAAGAGGCATTTAACATAACATGATCATCCCCTTGTCTTCATCTTCAATCTTGACATCAAGTTTGGCCAGATCTAAGATTACCTAACTGAAGAGATTAATATGATACACCAAGTCTAACCCTCCTGCATCTTAAGCGCATAAAGCCTTCACTTTATACACAAATTGTTTGTTAGTGATTTTTCCATGAACTAAATCTCCAATTTTTACCAAATTTCTTTTGGAGTTTCCAAAGCCATATAACGTGATACAGAACTTCATCCGCAAAGCATAATCGAATGGTTCCTATCGCACGTTCATTTAAATCAGCCTTTACTACATTAGCTGGCTTTTCCGCCTTCAAGGTTTTTAGAAGACCATAGTGTACCAACAAATCCTTAAACCTTGACTACCATAACCTCAAATTTCGCACTTAAACTGGTCATCTCAACAGTGGTTTAATACCAATTTTTTGAGGTTAACGAAAACAAACAATAATAGTGACAGAAAAGTACAAAAAGCAAGATTTATGTGGTTCGTCAATGTGCCTACATCCACATGAGTGAAGCTATTCTTTTGTTAATTGTGATAGTGATATGTATTTATAAGCATCTATCCTTGTACCATGGGCAAGCCCAATCTACTTCACTCCTATTTCTTATATGAGACAAACTTCTTTTTCTTATATGAGACAAACTCAACAATTGAAATACTCAATAGGTCAGGAATAGAACACTACAAACCAATCTCAACTCCAATTTCAATTAACAATAAGCTAAGTGCAACAACCACATGTCAACCATACGAAAATCCTACACAATACCATAGCCATGTTGGAGTACTTCAGTACCTAAGCATCACTCGCCTGAATCTTTCCTTTGTAGTCAACAAACTTTGTTAGTTCATGCACTCCCAAACACTAGGCACTAGGTGGCACTTAATAAAGTTCTAAGGTATGTCAAAGGGACTTTAGATTATATATGGACTGCATTTGACAAAATCTGACTCTGATGGTATCCATGATTTTCTCGAACTCTGAATGGGCGGGGTGCCCTGATTACAGAAAATCCACTAGTGGTTTTGTTATCTTCATTGGCAAAAATTTAATCTCGTGCTTGTCGTAAGCAAAAAACAGTGGCTAGATCTTCAACAAAAGTAGAATACAAAGTCATAGTAAATATCTCATTAGAAGTAACATGGTTAGTTGCTCTCATTCATGAACTTGGACACTCATTAGCAACACCACATCGACTCTGGTGTGAAAATCATATAGTGCTACATATCTATGTGCCAATTCTGTTCTTCATGCCCGAACTAAGCATGCAGAAATAAACTACCACTTTGTTCGTGACAAAGTAGCATCAAAAGAGCTAAAAGTGAACTACAACTCTACCAAAGACTAACATGTAGACATCTTCACCAAACCACTCAACACTGCTAAATTCAATTTTCTAAGTTCTAAAGGACAATCTCAATGTTTTCTCTAGAGAACCTTAAGCTTGAAGGGGCATATTAGGACTTTGTATTTTATCAGCTTTACGATTCCTACTCTATGATATTATTGTAACTCTACTTTTACTAGTTCTGCTCTAGCTATCACTGTATCTTATATCCCTATAAATACACAGCTTCATATACTATGTAAAGATGATTGATCAATAATAAAACTCTTTTTAGAAATTGTTATTCTCATAAGTTTTACATGTGTTGTGAACTAATATTTCAACTTTCTGACACTCCAAAGAATTCATTTGTAGGGAGTTCTAGATGATGGTAGAGAAATAGCTGTAAAACGGCTTTCAAAGAATTCTATGCAAGGGATTGAAGAGTTCAAAAATGAAGTCAATTTTATTGCCAAACTTCAACATCGGAATCTCGTGAGTCTTATTGGATGGTGTATTAAAGGGGAAGAAAAGATGTTGATATATGAATATATGCCAAACAAAAGTCTCGACTCATTTATATTTGGTATACTTAAATCATCTATGTAATTGCATTTTATCACTTCAATGTCATTGTGCATTTCAAATATATGGTCCCCTGGACAATATATGCTTAACCAATCTAATGTGTTTTGGAAAAGAAAGATCCAATCTTAAATGAATCTTGTAGTCTTATAAAATCCTTGTGCAGATCAGAGAAGAACATTGCTTAATTGGACAAAACGGTTCAACATTATCAATGGAATTGCTAGAGGGCTTTTGTATTTACACCAAGATTCGCGATTAAGAGTTATTCATAGAGATCTCAAAGCTAGTAACATTTTGTTGGATATTGACATGAATCCAAAGATATCAGACTTTGGCCTAGCTAGAAGCATTGGAGGAAATGAATTTGGAGCAAATACAAGCCGAGTAGCTGGAACACAGTAAGAATCTCAAGATTATTTTATATCATTGCATCTTTTTGGTAGTTGAACATAACAATTAATAAACTAAAATTGTAAAGCACAGTGGTTACATGTCACCGGAGTATGCAGGAAATGGGATGTTTTCTACTAAATCAGATGTCTTCAGCTTTGGTGTCTCAGTACTAGAAATTGTGAGTGGAAAACGAAATAGAGGATTTTCTCACCAAGAATACTATGAGAACCTTCCTAGCTATGTAAGTCTCTTATTTTGAACATATTTTTTTTCATCAATAATTTGTGATGCCCTAATCTACTAATTTCTACATATCGAAGGCTTGGAAGCTTTATAAAGATGGTAGATCAATTGAACTACTAGATGAGAATTTGGTTGTATCATGCAATTTGACTCAAGTTCTAAGATCGATTCAAGTTGGGTTATTATGTGTTCAACAACACCCAGAAGATAGACCAAACATGTATTCCGTTGTTCAAATGTTATCCAGTGATGCTGAATTGCCCATTGCTAAAGAGCCTGGGTTTTTTACCGGAAGGGCAATTGAGACCCAAGTATCTACAATAGAAATGACGGATTCTATAAATGAAGTCTCAATTTCATTGTTGAATCCTCGTTAAAAAAAAGTACATGATAGGGCGGGGTTAGTACCTATTTTCCCCAAGTTTTTATTTGTTTTTGTCTAGCATTCATAGTTACATGTTTAGTCATGATGGTATGGAATATTGTATAAATATTACAATGTAGTATCTGTTCATAACTATTATCTCAACCTACTGAAACACAAAGAAGCAATAACGCCTCTACTGAGACTCGAACTCACAACTTCCCATATGGGAGTCTAACTCGGGTGCCATTAGATCACAAGGTCTTAGCTACTCTTTGTATATATGATGTGGAGTTAAGGACCTTTATTGTAGTAAACTGATGATTTCTTAGAGTTAGTTGTTAGTTGATTTAAGTTCTGTTGTTGTATTTTTTTTGTTAAAAGTTACCAAGTCAATGTTATGCACTATTAAAAAAAAAACAATAATTAATTAAACTTCAACAACATAACTGATCAAACTTAATATTCTAATCATTCAAACAGTGGTGTAGTTCCTATACGAAGACTGTAATTTCTGTATTTGTGTTAAATATTGTGTCTAGATAATATTTCAGTGTGATTCTGTTTGAGTGATTGAGTTAGCACTGTCGTAGATCAGTCAGTAGATCAGTGAATAGTCTTGGTGCGGAAATTAAATCAAACAGAAGTAAAAGACACAAAAAATTATTTACCTAGTTCGATAAAGTGTGTATCTACGTCTGGGGGACGATCATCGATGCGTCCAATCCACTAACTCATAATCCAATGTACAAAGGTAGAGAAAAACGATCTCACCCAAGTGCCCCACACAAGGTCAGTACCCAGTCTACAGAGGTTTAGTGGATTGTTGAAGTCGGAGAGCCGCGCATCCAGAAGTCCAATGAAATCCCTTCAATGGAGAGCTAACTCTGATGCAGTCCGCTTCACTGACGCAGTCCCACGTTGTTCCCACAACTAAGTGATCTTCGCGTCCACTGGTTTAAACATGATTGATTATTCTCAAGTTCATCTTCTTAAGCACCCTGAACTGTATTTCTTGAGAAGGAATGGAATAGCCAAAGATGTGTATTCTTTTAGTATTGAGAGTGTTGGCTTCAAGGCATTCAACCCTAACTTGTGAAGGCTTGTATGCATAAATACTTCTTCTCTTTGATTCTCTCCAAAAATAGCTCTGGTTGTAAAAGGTAAGACTTGTATAGCTAATCAATCTTGATTCTTTAAGGAGATTTCGCCCATACCTAAGGAGAGATGATTTACTGATATTCTTTCTTGAAATATCACCTCAAAACCGCGTTTGCCAGCTCATACGCGTCTTCAATAGATGATCTCCAATGGTTTTAATTCTGAGACGCTCTGTCGGAATATCTGATCAATCAGAACTTCAGTCTTCAAACTCTGGCAGACTCTAAAACAGAAAAGCTATCTAATTTGCCATAATAATTTTGCCAATTACATGTTGGGATTTTAGACTCAAAACACTAACAAAGACTTTTTAAACCAACTTTGCTTACATTCACTAATAAAGATTCTTTATTACAATTTGGTTAGTCCAACATTGAGTTTTTTTTTTTTTTTTTAACTAGTTTTACACGCACGTTGCACGACTAATTTAATGCCCAATGATAGAATTAAAATTAATGTTTAATTGGTACTTTTTAAAAACAATTATGTAAATACTTATTGTAGTTGGTATGATATTAGGTAGTTGATACCACTTTTGGTTGAAGCTACTCTTAGTTTTGTTAATTCGCATTTAGATACTTTGTCTTTATTGCTTGTCCGCTTCTTTTTTGTTGGTAGTGTCTTATGTGGATTTGAGTTACTGGTGCTAGTTTGAAAAAGAACATATTTGGTTTAATTAGTTTTGTTACATTAAAAAAAAAAATATTTGAAATATTGATTATATTATTTATCGGTGGAAAATAAATTATTGAAAATAATTAGTATAAAGACTATATTGCTCTTACATAATAAAATATGTGAGTGTAATATAGAAATTCATATTACATATTTTCTCGAAGTGTGAAAAATAAAATATAAAGACACTAAGGAATTCGTTTTCTTAAATTTTTTTTTTTTTTTAAAAAAAAAGGAAAATGTCAGTTTTAATCTATTAATTATGCCTAAATTGTAGACGAAGGTTTTCTCGTGTAATCAATATTACAGTAAACCCAACATTCACTTGAAATCATCAACGTAAAACGCTTATTGTTTTATACTTGGAAAACATTTACAAAATGACCAATTTGTCATCTAATAATTTGGCAAATCAAAATAAATTTTTAATGTTAACAAAATTTATAAGTAATAATTTGAAACAACTACTTTTAACATAATTAAAGGAGAAAAGTTGTATGCCAAGCACCTTGTGCTCAGGTGACACCTTTGTGGCTCTCATTGAGGGAAGGTCACATGATTGAACCTCGATGGTGGGGTATTGAATCTTTGGGCTGCAATATATATATATATATATATATATATATATATATATATATATATATATATATATATATATATGTATGTGTGTGTGTGTGTGTGTGTGTGTGTGTGCGCGCGCGCGCTAACCGTATTATCGAAGATGGGAGATGGGCCCTGGGCGTACAAACAGAGTCTGTTGATCCTCTGGAGAATTTCACAACCAGAGGATGGCGGTTCTTGATGCCATCGACATGGTCTTGGGTGGCATGGTGACGATGGATGATAGGAACTTTGATGAACCATTGTGTGTGTTTTACCGTATTTGTGTAACTGTGGACATAACGAAGTCGCTAAAAAAGGGCATGAAGCTTAAGATGGATAACGGGGATTGGGCCACGATTGATTTTTCTCTATGAACGTCTACTAACCTTCTGTACACTTTGGGCTTGGCTCCGGGCAGAAACTCATAGGCAACTTTCGATGGCTGGTTAAAGTTGGTTAGCCCCGGAGACTAGTGATGCAGTCTCTTGGTGGTGCCTCCGGTAACAGCGAAGATATAAGCCCTCAGGGTAAGGGAATTCCTTCTGGTCAGCATGTTGGGCATGGGCATAATAGTAGAGATGTAATTACCATGGTTGAGTAGAAAAGGCATCGTACCTCAGACCTGGAAGAGATATATGGACAAGCATTGGCACTGATGGAATTAGAATTGGCTCTCTGAAAAAACTTGCTTCCGGCAGGTTCTAGCGTAGCCTAGACCCACCTCCCACAATGAGTACGCTATGTTTGAACTATCGTGGCTTGGGTGACCCACGCGCAATTCGTGAGATTATGGCTATGGCAGCCAAGAAGCAACCCAAACTCTTTTTCCTAATGGAAACTAAGGCCAGGCATGTGCATGTAGATAGATTGAAGGTTAAACTGGCTTTTGAGGGTGCATTTGTTTGTTGATGGCGGAGGCTGGGGGTGATTTGTCCTTGCTTTGGAAGGAGAAAAATATAGTAAGTCTGCTTAGTTTTTCTACTAATCACATTGGTGTGGAAGTCAAGTGCTTTGGGTGTCTGAGTTGGAGGCTTACTTGTTTTTATGGCCATCCTGAACGAAGTCGTAGGCATCTCGCATGGGATATACTTCGGAACCTCTAGTCTAAATCTGACTTACCCTAGATGGTGGTTGGCGACTTCAATGATATATTTTTCTCGAATGAGAAAAAAAAAAAGGCCAATAGCTGCATCTTGCAAATCTAATGGAAGTGTTTGAAAAAGCTCTTGATGATTGCTTGTTGTTTGATTTGGTCATGGAGGGGCGGAAATTCACCTAGCAAAGAGGACGGCGTACCCAAGCTTGGGTGGAGAAATGTTTAGACAAGGCTGTTGCTGATGCCAAATGGTGTGTTATTCACCCCCAATGCAGTGGTCCACAATGTAGACACTATCACTAGGGATCACTTGGCTATCTTCATTGATACAAAAGACCCCCGTGTGCATCCGCAAAGACGCAGGTTTATGTTCGAGAATGTTTGGTTGGCTGATACGAGTTGTGTTCCCATCAATTTTTGCTAACTCATGGGCTTCAATAGTGGGTCAGTCAGTGTTGAAAAGGCTTGACATATGTAGTAAAGATCTCAAGAGCTAGGTGGTGATTATGGTAAACGCATGAACAAGGCCATTGACGATCTCCAAAGACGTATCAAATTTTTAAGTAATAGGGCGTGACTCTACGTCAATTGCACATATCTGTGAACTTGACAGGGAACTCCGACTTACTTTTTATAAACTGAATGTTTTTTTGCGTCAGCGGGCGAAGCAACATTGGCTTAGTCAGGGCGATTGAAAAACAAAATTATTTCATTTATATACCTCTGCCCGGAATCCGCGAAACACCATCACTTGGCTGAGGGAATCAAATGGACAGTGGGTCGAGCGTGGGGTCGTGGGCACTTTAGTTGCTGACTATTTCGGGGATATTTTCTCTAGTAGAGGGGTCTCAGATATGTTAAGGATTAATGATTTAATGTATTATTATATTTGTTGCTTAGTTTCATCCTATAGAATAGTTCCTTATTGTTGTTTTGTTACCTGCTTTATCTCTCTGTACTTGTATAAATAGCTTACTGCTCTAGCTTAATAATACAAGCCTTTTCACAATCTCTACATGGTATCTGAGCCATATTTCTCTAACGGAGAATTTCCTGAAGATCCATATTTTTTTCCCCTTCCCTCAATGGCTTCCGTTTCTACAACCATATCGTTAGTTCATTTAACTGCCCGAACCCACTTCCCTATCCGGTTAACTGACACTAATTTCCCGGTTTGGCAGCGCCAAGTGAAGTCCACGTTAATCGGCCTTGATCTCTTAGGCTATGTTGATGGCACAAAAGGAGCACCTACTCAATTCACTGATGAAGCCCGCACTATCGTAAATCCGGCTTACACTGCTTGGTATCGACAGGATCACATCTTGATCAGTGCTCTCCTAGGGAGCTGCTCCGAATCAATCCAACCTCTCATCTCATCTGCAGTCACTGCACATCAAGCTTGGTCGAGACTTGCGACAAGCAATGATAATGACTCTAAGGGTAGAGTCATCTATCTTAAAACCAAGTTGACTAAAAATCCAAAAGGTTCTAGTTCGATTGTTGAATACCTTCAAGATATGCGCTCAATCGCCGACTCACTTGCTGCTGCGCAAAGCCCGGTCGATGATGATGATTTAATTGCCTATGTGTTAAATCAACAAGGTGATGAGTATGCTTCCATAATCCCTGCTGTTCGTGTCCAGAGAGTAGGAATCACCTATGGTGATCTCTACAATATTTTGACTGAACATGAGCGCATGTTGAAAGATGCTGAAGAAGCCAGACAATCACACCTTGTTACTGCTAATGTTACTCAACGCCAAACTCCATTAGCTAGCCAGTCTAATGGTGGACCAACTAGATAACCCTTCAATCGTGACCAAGGAGGGAATTACAACCAAAGACGGTTTCGTGGCAGCCGTCAAAATCAAGGAGGCAATTACAACCAAGGTGGCTTTTACCGTAACAATCTCGTATGTCGATTTTGTAATCTGCAAGAACATGAAGTAAAAGTCTGTCGCAAACTAGCCCGGTTCCTCCATGAAAATGGTATTACAATTGGGAATTAGCATATGTCTAATTCTTCAAATCCATCGGTGAATGCTTCAATGGTCAACAATGTGCCGCAACAGTCTTGGCTGTTTGAAACAGGTGCTTCACATCATGCAACCTCGAGTGCAACATCTTTGCCATCATTTTCTGAATATGGAGGCCCCGATGAAGTCCACCTGGGAGATGGTAATCGTTTGCAAATTACTCACACAGGCACTACTGTTTTTCCTACTCCTACTCGTAATTTAACCTTAGACAATATTCTTTGTGTCCCTAAGTTACATCGTAACTTGGTTTCTGTTTTAAGCTTTGTCAAACTAATGCGGTTTCTGTTGAATTTTTCCCATATTTTTTTCGTGTCAAGGATCTTCGCACGGGGGCGTGTCTGATGCAGGGAAACAACGTACATGATATTTATTCTGCCACTATTCCATGCCACCCACAAATTAATACGCTCACTCTTGCCAATGTCTCCGAGTGGCATCATCGTCTGGGTAACCCGTCCAATAAAGTACTTAGTGTTATTGCTCGCAATTCCAATTTCCCATTTCATTTATCTGATGTCAATTTGTTTCATTGTGAGTCCTGTAGCGTAAGTAAGAGTCCTAAGCTACCATTTGCTCAGAATTCCTTAAAAAACTCAAAACCTCTTGAACTTTTGTACACAGATGTTTGGGGTACCAAGGATGTTTCCGTTGATGGTTGCTATTATTATGTCATCTTTGTTGATTTTTTTACAAAATATGTATGGCTATATCCTCTTAAACATAAGTCTGATGTTGCTTTCATTTTTCCCCAATTTAAGGCTCTAGTTGAAAAGTTCTTTGGTCATCAAATCATATCTGTCTTCTCAGATAATGGGGGTGAGTTCGTCAAACTAGCTCCTATGTTTCATTTAGCTGGCATATCTCATTTCACAACACCTCCGCATACTCCTGAGCGTAATGGATGACGAAACGGTGACATAGGCACATTGTCGAAACCGACATGTCGCTGCTTCATCGTGCATCTTTACCAATTAAGTTCTGGACGTATGCTTTTCAAAATGCTATATTTCTTATAAATAGAATGCCAACACCTATTCTTAATAATATTTCTCCATACCAAATGTTATTCCACAAAGTCCCCAGTTATGATAAAATAAAATGTTTTGGGTGCCTCTGTTATCCATGGCTTCGACCTTATGCTTCTTCGAAATTAAAACCACAGTCGGCACCATGTGTGTTTATTGGTTATTCTGTTTCTCAATCTGCATATAAGTGTCTTGAGCCAATTACAAATCGTATTTATATTTCATGCCGTGTCACATTTGTTGAGTCTGAATTCCCTTACAAGAAAATACTTATGTCTCATGCAAATAACCAGTTTCTTGCAGCTTCCTCCAGTAGCACACAAATTTTTATTCCACATAATCTCCCTGCGATACAGACCTCAACTTCTGTTCCATCTACTCCTGCTAATTGTGATATAGAATCCCACAATAACTCAGTTGCGCCTGTGAGTCCAGTAATTTTGCAGGATAATATTCCATCATCTGGGGATCATGCACACTCCGAATCTGCCTCTTCCCGAGATCATGTCCAATCGGGTTCCTCATCGACTGAGTCTGCGGATTATGTTCCTGGCATGCCTCATTTGCACACATTTAATTCGTGTTCGCACACATTTAATCTAATCTAGACCATTAAAAAAATATTAGACGGATGCACACGATTTGTTCTCACGTTCTCACCTACACAAGTGTTCTCATATGATCCTACATCTATATATATATATATATATATATATATATATATATATATATATGGACGGGATCAGGTGCGGGTGGTCTTCCCGTGCGGTTGTGGACTCACATTAAGCATTAAACTGGCGCACTTTAAGTACACAACAGACGCACATTAAACACACAAACAAAATACATTCAGAACACAAAGTCACACACGTTAAGCACAAAACTCACGCACCTTAAGCACAAGACTCACGCACATTAGGCACAAAACTCACGCACATTAAGCACACAAAACTCATGCACTTTAAAGTTTCAACAACAACTCACATTAAGTACACACTCACACACATTAAGCACACAACTCACGCACCTTAGGCATAAGACTCACGCAACTTAAGTACAAAACTCACGCACATTAAGCACTACACACTCACGCACATTAAGCACAAACCTCAAGCACCTTAAACACAAGACTCACGCACATTAAGTACAAAACTCACGCACATTAATCACCCGCACAACCGCACGGGAAGCGTTCACCCGCATTGAAACTCAAACACACACACACACACACACACACACACACACACACACACACACACACACACACATATATATATATATATATATATATATATATATATATATATATATATATATATATATATATATATATATGATAGTACTAATTCCCGTGGTCGGTTGTATGTACTGTAGAAAGTATGTATGTATATATGTGTATCAACAAGAAAGAAGACAAGAAATAGATGAAAGTGATCTTTTTATTCATGTTCTATTCTTGTATGTAGAGAGAAGGAAGATATAAAGAGATTAGAGAGAGAGAGAGATGTAGTTTTGAGAGACCAAAAAAGGATCATTCACTTGAAGGGCTAAATGCCCTTTTATAGGGCTACCGAGGTGGCGGGTTTGACCTGTCACCTTTGACCCCGACCCGTAGGCCAAAATCCGAACCGCAAGACCCGACCCGATTGTAAGAGAAGGCACGGACCCGGGGTATATAACCTATCATAAAGCCCCCTTAGCCCGTGCTCTAACGACGAGTTAACGAGGAAGGGTTCGGGCTGGAAAAACTGGTTACACGGTCCGTGACATGTGCCGGTTGCCTCGTTAAAAACTTAGGCTAACAAAAACCCAATGGGAAAAAACTTTAGCCAAGGGAAAAGAGTACAACGCTAAACACAGTCTAGTGGACCAAAAAGGGAGCGCCCGACCCAGTGGTCGGACTTGCAACGCAACTTGCGAAAGGTTAAACTCAACCGGTCCAATGAGTGGACTGCTGAGTGTAACCGGGCGGTCGATTCGACTGCGATCCGGAGATCTATTTAACCAACTACGGGGTTGGACCTGCTCACGACCGAGAGATTGGATCTATTCGGGCGAAACGCTACTCGGACGAAACGAACGCGATTACCCAACCGGGTTTCGTGCGAAAGCATCGACCTACACCCACAACTTCGACAATCGGGAAACGATATCACGATCGGGAAAGCCAGTGGTGGCAAAGCCTACCTAACTGGTCTAAGAAACGCCTACCTCGTAGGGCTTAAAGCCGAGATATGACCTCTGGCCAACTAGATCGGTGGTGGTAATGCCAACCTAACCGAACTTAGAACGCCAGAGGTGGCAATGCCCTGAAAAATGGCATCGGTAAGGAGTGATACATACACATCGCCGAAAACGCAGTAAAACATTGCTAAAACGCGTTACCGCCCAGAGGCAGTAAACACATTGCTAAAGAGCAGCAAAAACATCGCTAACACGCGGCATCGCTAAGAAAAGGTAAATACAACGCTAGAAAGCGGCATCGCTAAGAAGCGGTAAACACGTCGCCTAAAAGCAGAAAAAACATCACTAAAACGCAGCATCGCTAAGAAGCGGTAAAATACATTGCTAAGAAGCGGCATCGCTAAGAAGCGGTAAACACATCACCTAAAAGCGGAAAAACATCGCTAAAACGCAGCATCGCTAAGAAGCGGTAAACACATCGCTAAAAGCGGCATCACTAAGAGGCGGTATATACATCGCCTAAAAGCGGAAAAAACATCGCTAAAATGCGGCATCGCTAAGAAGCAGTAAACACATCGCTAAAGCGGCATTGCTAAGAGGCGGTAAATACATCGCCTAAAAAACGGCATCACTAAGAAGCGGAATATACATCGCTAAGAAGCGGCATCACTAAGAAGTGGAATATACATCGCTAAGAAGCGGCATCGCTAAGAGGCGGTAAACACATCGCTGAAAAGCGACATCACTAAGAAGCGGAATATACATCGCTAAGAAGCGGCATCGCCAAGAGGCGGTAAACACAGCGGCATCGCTAAGAAGCGGTATCAACCGGTATAACCGGACTCATAACTCCGGTGGTGGCAATGTTGACCTAGCTGGTCGTAGAGTGCTAGTGGTGGCGAGGCCAACCTAACTGGTCTTAGAAACGCCGGAGGTGACAGTGCCGACCTGCCCGGTCTAAAAAAGCGCGTAGCTTACTTTCACATCCCGCCGGAGGTGGCAGTGCCGACCCATTTGGACTAAAAAAAGGTGCGTTGGCCGACCGGGCGCATGGCCTCAGGCGATCCACATAAAACTTTCACTTCTCGCCGGAGGTGGTAGTGCCGACCTACTCGGACTAAAAAAGTGCGTTGGCCGACAGGGCGCATGGCCTCGGGCGACCCACATACTAGTATGTTACCCGGGAAGACGACTTGAGCCGGTCGCTCCTCAATCGACCGCCCTACCCTGTCCAGCCCCCCACTGTCGGACGCACTTAAGGATAAGGGTGTGTGGTAGTGGAATTGCTGGTCGGGCGTGGTTTAGTTGTCGGGCTATTGCCCTCATCGGTCGGTGCCGGAAAAAAGTTTAACGACATTGCGGTCGTCAGGCTATTGCCCTCATCGATCAGTGCCGGAAAAAGTTTAACGACATTGCGGTCGTCGGGCTATTGCCCTCATCGGCCGGTGACCGGAAAAAGTTTAACGACATTACGGTCGTAAGTCGGAGGTGGCATGACCGACCTATCCGAGCTTAAGGTTCCAGTGGTGGAAATACCAACCTAACCGAGCTTATTAC